CCAGTAAAGGGTACTTGCAAACCTGCCAGATACACAAAGTATTACTCAAGTGCCCATAAAAGAATTTGAGGGTAACAAAACAAAATTAAGAAAATAAGGAACACAAATAGGCCAAATACACATGAAAGGTTCAGAAACAAAATTAAAGAAAGTAGTGAACAAGAATTGGTAGCTTCTTGCAGACTAATAATATCACAGAATTACCACTAATAGAAATCAAATTTGGCGACTTTGTGGTAGAATCATTGCTTGATACAGGTGCAAATTTAAACTTGATACACCTTGCAGATAATAAAAAAATTATACAAAGATTCATTACTTAAGCAGATCTGTAAGAATAAATACACTAAATAATTCTACTATCCCATATTTATCTGCTGTAAACTTAAAATTTCGTTTAGGAAATAAACGGCTTGCCAACCAATTTTTTGTTACACAACATAATTGGAACACAAATTATCAAATGATTTTAGTGTATAATTTCATTCAAAAAATAAAATACTTATAGATGCACATAAAAATCAGTTAATCATTGATAACACATATTTTGATCTCCTAAAGAAAAGAAAAAATTGTAGTAACATTAATGCAGAAAAGGTAAACAAAAATAGTCAACCAGATGAGTCAAGTATTGTAAGAGTAGTATTAAATACCAGAATTGCGCCAAATACAGCAGAGATAGTAAAGTTAAGCATTCCAATTAATATGCAGAAAGAAAAGCAAATAATGTTTCTCACCAGACAGGCGAAAATGGGCAAAGATATGACTGACTGGATTCCATGAGATAAGTGACAGGCAATATATATTCACCATAATTGAAAACAATTCCAATTCCACAATCATATTAAGAAAGGGTGAAAAGATTGGTAAGGTATATAAAGTAGAAGAAAAACAATTTGAAAAACCTAGAGAGCAACAAAATTTACAAATTAACCACCTAACTTTATAAGAAATTAAAAAGTTAAGAAAGGAGGAATTAAGCCCAGAGGATTTTGATTTAAGTCATTTAGAAGCAGAACAAAAGAATAAGATGATTGAAATGCTCATGAAAAATTCAGCTGTGTTTTCAAATCTTACACCACTCTGGGTGAGACTGATGCTGTCGTGCCACAATTTAATTTGTTACATAACTTTCCAATTCAGACTAGACCATACACTATTCCTCGCATTGCTAAAAAATATGCCCAAGAGGAAATAGCCAAATTGTTAGAAGCAGGAATTATTGAGCCATCTACATCGAGTTACAGTTTTCCAGTAATTTTTGTCAAAAAGAAAACACCACCTAATGCTGATCCTAGTAAATTAAAATTTAGAATGCAAGTAGATTATAGATTGCTAAAGTGCATAACTGAATCATATCAAATATGTTTACCTAAGATTTCAGATATTTTGCATAATGTAGCAGGTAAAAGTTATTATTGTGTGCTAGATCTTAAGTCGGCATTTTTTCAAATAAAATTAGATCAGAAAGATAAAGAAAAACTAGCCTTTTGCACGGAACTTGGCAATTTTCAACCAACTCGATTACCTTTTGGTGCAAAGAATTCATCTGCTTGTTTCCATACTCTAATATCTAAATGTTTAGGTGAATTGCAGGGTCCAAATTTACAATATTTTCTAGATGACATATTTGTTGCAGCTAATAATGAGCTAGTAATCATTTTGCAAAAGGTGTTCGACGAGTTAAAACAATTTAATTTAATGTTAGATCCAGCCAAATTGCAGTTATGTAAACAAGAGGTTATGTATTTAGGTTTTTCTGTTAATAAGAAGGGTTTTGCTTCTACAGCTGAGAATATTCAGAAAGTAGCTAAATTTCCTAGGCCGAGAATTGTGAAAGAGGTTCAAACATTCATATTCATGGTAAATTATTTTCGATACCTAATTTTTAATTATGCAGAAATTGTCAAGCTAATAGTGAATTTAATGAGAAAAAATATACCATTCGTGTGGAATGGTATATTTTGACATGTCAAAATGCTTTAGATAAAATACAAGAATTAATTTTAGAAAAACCCACAATAAAAAACATAGAAAATGATAAACCTTTGCATTTAGTAACTGATGCTTCTAGACAGCCATTTGTGGCATATTAATGCAAAAGAAGGATGATAAGTTTTTCCCAGTACAATTTTACTCAAAAATTTTAACACCTGCTGAGGCTAGATATCCTTCAATTAGGATAAAACTTTATGCAATCTTCAGATCAGTAAAACAATTTCACGAACATCTGTATGGATAAAAAGTTTTAATATTAACGGATGCTAAACTTCTGACTTTCTATATCAATCCTGACAAGCAGCCAGATATTGTAGCACGCTGGTTGTTATATCTACAAGAATTTCAATACACGATGGAGCATATTCCTGGTTTCAAAAACCCAGCAGATTACTTGTCAAGAGTTTCAGAGGATGTAGTTGTAAACAATGTAAACATATTTAGGACTAATGATAATTTGTCCATTCAAAACATAATTAGTAAACAGCGAAATGATCCATACATAAAAACAGTTATAAAATAATTACAGGATAACCACAAAGATAGTACAGAACAATATTTTATTGATAGTCATACGGATATATTAATGATAAAATTAAAACTTGTAAATGCTAGAAAGAAGGACAAATGTATTCAGAATAAAATTCTAATACCTAAGGCATTAATCAAAGATGTATTACAAACAGTTCATGCGCCTCACTTTGGTATTCAAAAGACATATGAGTTTGTGAAAGCAAAATATTATTGGAGAGGTATGTACAGCGATACCAAAAGTTTTGTAGAAAATTGTTCAGATTGCTTACAAAATAAGTCTAGACCACACAACACTATGCCACGTCTTATTCCTAAGAAAGATCTTGCTCCTGGAGAGATGATAGCTATAGACATAGTTGGTAAACTACCAAGATCCATAGATAATAAGTTTTATGCACTCACTATTATTGATCATTATTCCAGATATTTGGAAACAGTTCCATAAAACAACTGCACTTCTCATTCCATTACAAAATCTTTAACATAGCTGATACTCAGTGTTTCGAAGGGTGAAAAAAGTGTTACGGTCTCCTCTCCGCTATGCTGTAAATATAGGAGAATATTTCCCTGATAATATTTGTAATTAAGATATGCTTGTTTATAAATTATGAAAAACAGAAAGATTTAAAGGTCTTGCGAGAAAGCTATTATAATTTCTATATAATAAAGGTGTGCTCTCTGAGACACAATTTTGAGACTTCTGCTGATTTAGCAGTACTAAAATTTCGGCAAGATATCATTACACATTGCAATTACTAAAAGACAGCCTAAAGACTTTGAGAGATGATGAATACGTATCACCCAGAAAATGAAAATATTATTTATGTGTATTTGAAATAGAACATATAATTGAAACGTCACAACTTTCTTTCAGTCTCAAGTTATTTTTCCTAGCATTAACTGCAGATATAGTCATTCTCAGTAAAACAACTTTGCTTTATCTCCTCCAAGAAATAGATTATTAAATATATTCAATTTCATGTATGTCAAAAAAAACATATGCACTCAGTCAAGGACATCTATTTCTTACAAGCTAAAATTATACACATTTTGGAAATTTTAAAGTCTGTACATAGGACAGTTGTCGATTAGGATCTTCACCAGAATTTAAAAGGTTTTGAAGGAATATGGAGCGTCAGTATGGTTGAGGAGGCAAATACGACAGCAGGCTTACAACTGTCTACTGACATGACGGCTATAATGTCAGTAGTCTGCAAAATTCTATTATTATGTTTGAGCTCGAGTTCAAAATTCCCAGCTACGCGTTTTCGAACTGAACATCAGTAAAGAATCGTCCCATTACGTTAAAAATCCTTTAAAGGCTAGCTTGAATACTCCGCATTCTGATAATTTGCTATGATGCAATTAAGTCAGAAAGATCTGAAACATTTCAAATGCCTGTGATTAACTCTGCTGAAAATGAGACCATGCTTTACAGTTTTATGGGGATATATAAATTAACATTCAAGTTCAGGGCACATATCAATCGCGATAATTGTAGATATTGGAGACAAAAAATGCTATCTTACAAATAGACGTTGTGAATTTGCTGTAAATTACGAATATAAATTTCATGCCCTCGACGCAATTAACATAGCTGATACTCATTGTTTCGGAGGGTGAAGAAATAGTTACCGTCTCCTCTCCGCTATGCTGTAAATATAGGAGAATATTTCCCTGATAATATTTGTAATTAAGATATGCTTGTTTATACATTATAAGAAAAAAACAGAAAGATTAAATGTCTGCGAGAAAGCTATTTTAATTTCTATATATAACAGGTGTGCTCTCTGAGACACAATTTGAGACTTCTGCTGATTTACATTACTAAACTTTCGGCAAGATATCATTACACATTGCAATTACTAAAACACAGCCTAAAGACTTTGAGAGATTTCGAATATATCACCCAGAAAATGAAAATTATTTATGTTATTTGAAATAGAACATATATTGAACACATCACTCTTTTTTCGTCTCAGTTATTTTTCCTAGCATTAACTGCAGATATATCATTCCAGTAAAAAACTTTATCTCCCCTAAATTACTAAAGACAATTTCATGAACATACTCGTCAAGGAATCTATTTCTTATAAGCTTAAATTAAACATTTGAATTTTAAAGTCTATACATAGAGAGTTTCCATATAAAAAAAATGGCTAAGCACTTTTATTCTTTGAAGGTCTGACACACCAGAAGCTTCCGCATAAATATGTTTAATCACAATGTAAGTAGAACGCATTTCACAAGCATATTATAATAAATAAAATTAGATACTTTATATAGGGACATAAATTCAAATACAGAGTCTAAAAATAAGATAAAACGGACAGATACATTGTTCAAAATTATGCTTTATTAATATATATATATTTATATTTTATCATTTTTTTTTTTTTTGATTTCGTATTTGTTATTTTTTATATTTCTGTTTCGATACGTAACAAATACATTTAAAAGATACTCACTCTCCTTTGATGTAGTTGTCGTCTCTCCAGTCGTAGAAGATATTACTGTAGGCGTTACAGTATCTTTCGAACTCGTTCCCAAAGCTGTTAAGGCATTTAAACAAATTATTCACGAAAGGGAACAACAAAAAATGTACTGTAATTAAAAGGATACCTGGATAGAAACTCTGTCTACGCTTACGAGGGAAAAAGAGTTGATACTCTTTAAGATGTTTTGTTTACAGAATGGAGAAACATTCTGTGTTAATCCAGTTCCACCAAAACGTCTTTACTGTTTTTTATTTTTTAGCCATAGAAGCAGATTAGGAATAACATTGAATAATTTTGCATTAAGTCTGGCAAATTTAGAAATTGCAGAACTTATAGATTTTCTTAAATGTTTAATGGTCGAGATGATGATAATGCAATGTTTGACATCAAAATGCGTTTTCGAGTAATTCTAATATTGGGTTTTATGTAAATACGTTTCTGCCCATAAC